TTTTTTTTTTTTTTTTTTTTTTTTTTAATTTCATTTTATATATCTTTTGGTACAATCTGCAGATAAAAGTTTAAAGACATTCCTAAATCACATGAACCATGCACTAGATTTGATTCGCATGAACAGATACTCTAAGTCACACGGACAAAAGAATATCTTGCAGTACCAAATATCCATCCTTACCAATATCTTCACAACCATATCACACACAGAGGTAATTAAATTTAGAGTTTCAACCTTCCTTAATCCACTCAATAAAATCATTGAAATTCTCACGAGAGTTCCCTCTCTCGACACTATCCAAAGTTTTCCCCTTAAGATCCAAAGCTCTCTTCTTAAACCCCTCATCACCCAAAACCCTTTCCAACTTCTCCTTAATCTCCCCACACCCTACAATCCCACTCTCATCTTTCCTCAACCTCAACCCAATCCTCCACTCGTCGCATATATACGACTCGTTCAGAAACTGGTCCGCGAAATACGGCCAGCACAAAAACGGCACCCCACCGCACACAATCCCCTCGACCGTCGAGTTCCACCCGCAATGGCTCACAAAGCACCCGACCGACGGGTGGGACAAAACCTCCTGCTGTGGGGCCCACCGGACTACCATATTCCCTCGCTCCTCAACCCTCTCCCGAAAGCTTTCGCCCTCTCCTTCTGTATGGGCCATCACGTCCTGCCTAACGACCCACAAAAACGGCCTCCCCGTGAGCTCGAGCCCGAGTGCCAGTTCACGAAACTGTTTCGGGTCGAGCACTGCAAAACTCCCGAACGCGACGTACACGACCGAGTTGGCGGGTTGGCGGTCGAGCCACGCCACGCAGGCGCGATCTTCCGGCCAGAAGTGGCCGGAGGATCTCGCGAGGCGACTGGTGGCAAGGAGTGGGCCGATGGGAGTGGTGTCGGGATGCTCGGAGAACGTGCCGGGCTCGAGATTGTACGACGAGTTGCAGTAGAGTCGGTCGGCGTTCTTGTCCGAGTCGGGGATTTTTCGGAGCATGTCGTAGATGATTTTCTGAGTGGGCCGGTCGCCGACCGAGGCCCATATGAAGTTGGTGGAATGCAGGGGAGGAGTGCCCGGGCCCAACTGAACCATCTGCCTCTTCAAGATTGTTCCTGCAAATTTATGCAGTGACTTGATCAAGAGTCTCACAGCCAACTTTTATGACTAGCTAAATTTGTGTTTTATTTTCTTGAGTAGAGACAACATTAAATAACTTTTATGTATTTTTTTGTGATTTATCTTAATAAAAAGTATTTTGAGAAGGGGCAAAAATAAAAATCCAAACGGGACACAAATTTACAAGTTCCTACAATAAAATAAATAAATAAAATCACATTTGGTTTCGTCCCTGCTTTTCATTGAAATTTGCAGATAAACACAAAAAGAACCCACTCACCATCTTCACTGTCGATGATCCCATCACTTATGAACCGTGGAATGCTCAGCAGCGACACCCGCGCCGCGGCTGAAGCCAGCCCGAAGCTCACCTTCTTAATCCCGAACTTGGCCGCCACGTCAAAAGCCCACCCAAATTGTCCGTCGGCAATTACGCAGGTCACCCGTTCTCCGACCTGATCCGATCTCTCGATTAGAGCCTCCAAACCAGCCGGCATCGCCCGGAAAATCCCTTCCGTCAGCTTCCCGAGGTCTCCCCTGTCCTCCGGCCGCTCGACCCCGTCCGGAACCGAGACCATTCTCACCGCCCGGCGCACGTCCGGGCCGGAGTCCGAGTCCGAGTCCGAAATCGATTTCATGACCCGATCGTGGATGAAATCGGTGTTGACGAACGTGACCCTGATGCCGTGGTCCGCCAGCCGATGCGAAAGCTCTAGCATCGGGAGCACGTGACCCTGGGCCGGGTATGGCACGACAACCGCGTGGGGCTTCGCCATTTTCTTGACTTCTTTTTAGGCGAGAAGGAGTATTTTGTAGAGGCATAAATGGGTCGGGTGACTCGGGTCGAATTATTTTTGGGCTTTTGTATTTGTGGGTTAGCCTCTGTGTTGAACTCTGTACTGTTTGTGGGTTTGTTAGTCAACAGTTTGAGTTAAATTCTCGTTTATTTAATTATTAGATGACGTTTTCACTCAATTGATTTAGGGCGTTTGGATACAAATATTAGAATATATATTCAATAATTTAGGGCGTGTTTGGATCCAAATATTAGAATATATATTTAATAATGCAAAATGTAAAAATTGTTAATATTCCATTTATATATACAGGACGGACGTAAACTTGCAAAGTTAAGGGGCACAAAGTAACTTTTACGAAATGCCAAAAAATAAAATAATGTTATTTTAAAATCATTCTCTATATATCTATATTTTGCATCATTTAATAGTTACATCATTTTTCAATATTATCAAATTAATCTTTCTCAAATATCAAAACTATTATTATTTCTATCTTATATCTTTTCAAGTCTATATGTGGGCTTATGTTTATAATATTTTTTCACAATGAATACATAAAAGTCAAATTAATTAGTAATCAAGAAGTACAATTGGTTGCTTGTTTAAAATGTTATGACTAAAAATTAAAAACACCTAAATAAAGTATGCATCAAATTTAAAACAAAGTATGTAGATATCTTAATTAGAATCATGACTTTTTATCAACATTATGAAAACTCTAAAGTTGTATTACATTAATTCTTAAAATCACTTCATATAAATATGGGTTTACAAGAACTAAACTATAAATTATAAAGTTGATAGGTGAAAAGACGGATAAATAGAAATCATAGTCGGGTCCAAGATGAAATTAACGAATACTTAATATTTAGGTTTTTTACATGACATGATTGTGAAAAGATTATTTTTTTAGATTTTTTTTACATGGAGTATCAATTTTTTAAAAATAAAACTCTATTATAATTTTAGAATTTAGAAAAAATAAACAAATGGTATACTAAAATCAATATTTCTAATAAATAACATAGACACAAATTTGTATAGAAGAAATACTATTTTTTTCTCTAATTTCTACATATATAAGTACATTTTTTTTTAATTGTACAAGGGGTTGGTTCAAATAAAAACTAGTCCTGGTGTGAGAACCGTGAGAACCGTTTTTTATGCTATTTTTAATTGTGTATGATGCTATTTTTCATATTAGATGATGCTATTATTTTTACAAGTGCTACCAGAAATTTTGTTGCTATTTTTAATAAAATTCATCATAGTTAAAAATAGTATCAAACACAATCAATCATAGCACTACGCCCCAATAAAAATAGCAGTTCTCACGGTTCTCACATTAAGACTTGGTTCTCATTTGAACCACATCCTATATATATATATATATATATATAGGGGTCAGTTCGAATAAAAACTAGTTTTGGTGTGAGAACCGTGAGAACCGTATTTGATGCTATTTTTTATTGTGTATGATGTTATTTTTAATATCACATGATGCTATCATTTTTATAAATGTTAATATAAATTGTGTTGCTATTTTTTAAGAAAATAGATCCATGTTAAAAATAGCACTAAAACACAATCAATCATAGCAATACGTACAACTATAAATAGCGGTTCTCACGGTTCTCATGCTAGGACTTGGTTCTCATTTGAACCACATCCTATATATATATATATATATATATATATATATATATATATATATATATTTTCTTTAACAATATATAAGGGGTGATTGTTTATGAATTCAACTAGCTTTTAATATGATTATTTTTATTTTTTGTTATATAGTTATCATATATTTAACGCATATAAATTAAAATTATTTTTAATATTTAAGAAATAATTTTATTTTTAAAAAAATATGGGCACCTAGCTGCCTAAGCAACTCAGAAATGACTAACTTCACTTCTGTCTAGCCCAGTTAGGTACCATTTAGGGCCATTAGAGCACCTACAATGTTGTGGGTCTCTTATAAAAATATCATATATCATATAGAAAATAGATTTAGTCTATTAAAAAAGGTTTCTAGTGCAATTAAAAGTGGACTAGGTCTAATTTATGTGGCAATAAAAAAATGAGACCAAGTTCACACTTGGGTCTATTTTGGACCCAAATACAAACCTGAGCAGTCAGCATTTATTTCTAATTTAATTTTCTCTTAAAACAAAAAATATTTTAAAACATTTTTATTGGTTGACAGATATTATAGACCTAGTATTTTATTTTTTTCACTGTATGACTTCTGGATTTTTTTACTTAGGTTTATCCATGTCATTCAAGACTTAAGTCCATTTATATACCACATATGTAAAATTAGACCAAATGCATAGTGAAAACACTCACATTGAGTGAGACCTACCAAAAATAAAAAATCAAGTGGATTCCATTTTATGTGAGTGTTATGTATACCTTTATGTACATTTATTATGTACGTGTAATATACACTTATAAATAATTTCATCCACTTATAAATTTCCATTTTAATATACACTTTGTGAAAAAATTTAATTTTTCATTATACACTATTAACTCCTTTTTATCAATATACTATCAACATACATCGGACTGTGAATTAATGTCTACTAGTACAATACCCGTGTATTACACGGGTGTTGAATTAGAAAACTTTTGTAAAAAATATTAAATATTTTGAATTAGAAAGCTTTTGTAAAAAATATTAAATATTTTATAATTTAATTTTATATAAAACATTACTTTGAGTTTTAATTAAATTTTTAAATTATATTTTTTTAATCATAATAATTAAACACCCGTACATTAAATAAAAATATCAACCCGTGTTGAATTTTTTTGCATATATCATATAAAAATATCGATATTCTTTACTATTACATAAGTACAAAAATATATATCTTAAATAAATAGAAATAATATGGTAATATGTATATACATAAGTGTGGAATATGTTTATTTGATATTAAGCAAAATAAATTATTTTTTTTACTTAATTAGATGCTTAATACATGTAAGTGTCGTATCAGTTGTGCTTCACAGTTTTTTAACTTTATATGTAATTTTAGAATTTAGATAAATAATTATTTATTTTTATTAGATTGACAACATACCAATTAGATAAATTATTGGCTCTAGCAAATGGAAAAATTTTATAACTGTCACAATTTAAGAAAAATATTGCACAATAATAACCAGGCATACACAATCCAAACAGTTAACAATCATAAACATAAAACAAATCAAAAAACACAAAAACTTCCAGGAAAAAAAAAACCCGATTCATTCACAAAAGAAATTAGACAAAATAAAAAATTTGGAATAAAAAACACAAAAGAAAGAAGAAAGAGAGTGACGAGATTAAAAGGACAAGCAAATCACAATCCCATTAATGGTAGAATTCTTCCAAAACTAAACTATTAAATTAAGAAACAAAAATATTAATTTATATCCAAACCTAACTCCAAAGCGTGATTTTTTGCCAAATAGAATTGCAAAGCATGAGAGTTTGCCACGTACGCTCAGCGCATTCTGAAATTATATATACTAGTATAATACCCCTGTATTACACGGGTGTTGAATTAGGAAGCTTTTGTAATTTTTTTTACCTTTTTTAAAAACTAAAATAATTTAATTTTATATAAAACATTACTTTGAGTTTTAATTAAATTGTCAAATTATATTTTTTAATCATAATAATTAAACACCCGTACATTAATTGAAAATGTCAACCCGTGTTGAATTTTTTACTTATATCATATAAAAATATCGAAATTATTTACTATTACATAAGTATAAAAATATATATCTTAAATAAATAGAAATAATATGGTGATATGTACGTATATGCATAAGTGTAGAATATTTATTTAATATTAAAATAAAAAAATTAATTTTCTTACTTAATTAGATGCCTAATACATCAACTGTCATATCAGTCGTTCTTCACAGTTTTTTAACTTTATATGTAATTTTAGAATTTATATAAATAATTATTTATCATGAACAGTAACTCAATTCAAAGTCTAATTTAGATGAATTATTTACGGATGCAAGACGTATGATAAACGTGTGATATAAGATAAGCAAATATATGGAATATATTAATGGAAGAATATATACAATTTGATTTAATTTATAATAATACAATACCCGTGTATTACACTGGTGTTGAATTAGGAAGCTTTTATAATTTTTTTTACCTTTTTTAAAAACTAAAATAATTTAATT